GCCAGAACTGCAGTCGAGGAAGCTTGCGGAAGCCACCGCGCAAGTATATGGTACAATTCACCATCGCTGAAGCTTTGCAGAAGTGCACATGTTATTTTCTTGAATATCTTGAATCTTCTTGCCAATAACAAATGCCTCTATACTTTAAGGAGATTTGTCTAACCTATGAGCACTTTTGAGAAATACATCGCGGAAGCGCCGCGGAAGAGGATTTCAACCAAACATGGCCCGCGGAAGCCAAAACACAGGTCGCGGAAGCTCCGCGCAAGCATTGGCGGAAGCAAGTCATGAGTATAACAGATCGTAGACCGGTTTTTGACACCGCTCATGTGAGCATGTCAAGCCAAAACCATTGATTTGCAGAAGGACATCACATAATTGGACAGATCGTGTCAGTTGCTGCATAGGCTTCAGAAGACATGTGTAGTGGGTGCTTGGCGTGCGCGTCGCCTAGTGTTCTTTACTGCTGGCGGCAAACTTTGGACTAAAAAGGTTTGTTTCTGCCAGAAGTGTTGCCCAATTAAACCTGGCCGCGACACCTTGAGTAGTGAAGCTTGGAGAGCTAGCTGCGACTTGTTCGCTTTCGGTGTTTCTCCGGTCTCCCGAGACGAGACGTGATCCCCAAGGTGTTGTAGCCTGGTTGACTTCTGCCACCTGCGCTCAAAAAGGTCCTCCTTGGGTGCCTGCTTTATGGCCCTACTCAGTTGGCCCAATCGTCAACTCCACCTGAGGAATCAGACATCAATCCTCAACATCAATCCGTCGGACGGAGTTCGTTGCACAAGGCCTGGATGGTGGGCAACGTCCATTGCAGCCAGGCCAGTTCCAGCTTCGTCGCTGAGATCTCGGGACCTGGGAGCGCTAAAGTGCTGGGCGAGCTTCGCCCGGGTTTCTGAGCGACGCGTCTTTTGAAAGACCTCAACACGGAGAGGTGTTCGAAGCAGGAGACGCTGTTCATTCGATTGCTGTGTGAATTCTGTAGCTCAAGAAATGGAAGAACACAACACTTATTGAGAGAACACACATACATGGCTGTTTGAAGAGCGCAAACCAACCTTGAAGGCATGTTATTACCCATCCGAATGGGTGTTTACAGAGCTCGATCCCTGTACATGCCAGATATACAGGTTCATGTGGGAAAAGGTTGAGCGTTCCAAGGTTTCCGTGTGACCAGAGTTCAGCGCGAAGTGGGCTCAGCGTTGGGAGATCGGATCAAAACGAACTCCAAGTCTCAGGAACAGAGTCGAGGCAACCCAAAGAGATGCCTATGTTTGATTTCGTTATGGGAATATTGGGGAATAACACCCAGTGCAATGTAAGTGGCCAAAGTGAGTCTTGACCTCAATAAAAGCCGAGTAACACCCTCCAGCTTTCAGTCTTATTCTTTTAAGCAAAGATTCCAAGCCTTTAACTTTCAGGCCCTTGCGTAACACGGAGCGAACGTCGGTTCCTCGATGATGGGCCTTTGATGTTGTTGGTTTTAACCAGACAAGTCCTAAATGCAGCATGCTCGCAGGAGTGTCGAAAACAACACCAGCAAAGTTGGACATGAATTGCAGAGTTCAGAACCTGGACTCCAAATAGCAGTGCCTGTGACACTCCACTTGTCTCAACATTTTTCTCTTGTGGTTCCAGTGCCTCTTCAGACTTGGGCAGTGAGTTTGGCATCTCATTCCGAAATGCTTGATCTCAGAGTCGAATAGTTTTTCGAAATGCTGTCGGAGAGCTCGTTCCAACCCATGAGCTGCGGTTGCTCTTCATGCTAGCGGTAGCGGCGACAAGGATTGTGGTCGGTTCTTGGCACAAGCGAAGGGTCTATTTGATGTGAAGGGTCCCAGGGTCTAGTTGATACCAGTCTCTGTGGTAGCGACTTTCGTCCGAAGATGATTCCCCGTCGAGCTGATGTTGAGAACAGGATGCTTCAAAATCTGGAGCCCTGGGCCACCATGTAGTGAAAGACATTCCAGTAATTCAACCAAGGTATCCTGGTGCCATGACCCACAGCCAACTGATGAGTGGTTCCATGTATCTTTACGTTCCACAGCTTTTTGCGCACCTCGATCCATTGAGCAAGGCAAGGCCATGACCATCCGCCGAACCATTGCCGCCGTTGCAAGCAGCTTTGCTATGCTAGCACTCCATTGTTTGGCAAAAAAACACACGTCCATCGTGAGCAGTTCGTTGGCTGGGCGTTTCCTAGGTTAAATGATGGATACTTGGCGGAGTTGGTGTCACTTCCATCCACAAGTGCCCTCGATTTGGATCAGACACCTTCTCAAGAAGAAGTGGCTCGTCTTCTGCCGCAGGTCTATGAACCAAGTCCCCAGCGGTTGTGAGTTGTTGGGGACTTGGCTTTCCAGTCATCAGAGCAGCTCGCGCAAAGCCCGGTCGTGCACATGTCCAAGGTAGTTCCTGGCAGTGACACTATCTTCGACCTAAAGTTCATGTGCGTGTGTCAGATAAGGTCTCATAGAGGAGGGCTGCACATCACACCATCAAGAGACATTGTATGTTACTCTACCCTGACCACTTAGGCCATACTCTTGGAAATGTGGCCTCAAAATGCATAGGTAGAGCCGGTAGAGCATTTTATGTTACTCTACCTTGTGCAGACCACCCTCTCATGCAGAGCAAGGGGCCCGAAGGGGCCTGGAAACACAGCCGACGCCGCTGAGTGGAGAATATATTGCCGTGTCCAAAGTGCCTTGCGGCATAATTGGCCCACGGGATAAGCTTTGCAGCTTTGCAGCTGTTTTCTTTTCTGTGGAGATTTGACTCAATCGGAGGTTACGCCAGAAAATCTGGCGCAGAACCATAGATATACCTGAGCAGTTGATTGGCAATGCAGGGACAACGCGTAAACCATTTGGCATTCTGTTGCTGAGATCCAACGAAATCAGAGCCAGTTGCAAAAAGGACAGAGCGAGCACTGTTCTCTTATTTCTTTGTTTCATGAATGAGCCTAGAAGGATATCCGTTTCGAACGGAATCAATCCGGCAGATACGAACACATCCAACAGCCAACTTGCCTCTGTTGGTGTAGAGATCAGTTTTACTACCGCGCGTGTGGCTGGGCAGGCCAGCTTTGGGCTGGCTGGGCAGGTCCATTAGAGGACGTTTGACCCTCAATTGGATCCTTTTTCTCAAAGAGGCCTTGTTGGCAGATGTATGTATTCATGTTGATGTCTGAACCCTAGGCAGCATCACAGCTACTGGTATAGGTTCTTCGGTGTGTGTTCTTGCTTTCTGTCTTCTATGTTTGATGGATTTTGATGGTATCTTCTTGATAGAAGGTCTTTGCGGACTCACGGCTCCTAGTGTGATGCCGAGACGCCTCAAGAGACACTACAGCTGTGCTCTTCTAAACATGTGTGATCTCCTACTGTTTATGCACGAGCAACGCAAAGGACAAGGAGTTGCTTCTGAAAGCTATTGAGGACAGGAATTACTGAACACTTCGCAAGCTAAACTGAATCACGAAGACTTCAAATGTGTGAGGAAGATCACTCCTTTCATCAGAATAGTCATCACGGTAAGTCAGTAAGTCACTCCTTCTTGACTCTGTTTGTGTCAACTGGTGCCACACGTATCTCACACGTCGTCCGCGTCCGATTCCGTGCTCCGTCGTCCGATTCTCGGTGCTCTTCGTATTCGCGTTTGACCAACCACGGTTCCAATACCGGCTGGACCGCAGTTGAAGCGATCTGGACCGCATTGGTCAGCACATCTTGGATCGGATAACAAGGCAACATGTTTTATGTTTAACATGTTTGTTGGACTTTGGTAGTCTAAGCTATCCAAGACATCCAGGATCCTCCAGGCTTTCAGAAGGCTTCCAGTTTTTTTCAGGGAAAACCTCCACTCAGTTGGATGAAATTGCACTGGGGACTGATCCATGAAAATCATCGATCTCCGTGACTTTCAGAGCATCCGATCCCACTCCTCCGGCGCGCCCCTTCCCCCATGCTGTGGAACTTCCTGGGAGCCTTGGTTCCTCGGCGCCCGGCCAGTGGTGACCCGAGTCGGACGCAGCCAGATCCGTCAAAAGGGTTTGGGGTCACCACGGGGTCGTCAAAAGGGGCACCCCCGTGGGTGTTTCGGGCCCTTCCAGATGAAAGGACGGTGAAAGGACCCCGCTTTCCATGTGTGAAGACCCCTACCCCATCCTACCCCTCACATGGATGAGGCATAGATGTTTTCCCCAAAAATGGATAGAACAGTCACATCCCTGCCACTATCTATTCGGGCACCCCTATAGATGAGTCTGCTGATTTTCCGGTCCCCAATCGCAGAACTCGTTTTGCACCGATGCTCGTGGTTTGACACGGTTTGGTACACGGCGGTTCGATCGTAACGACCGCCGCAAGCGGGCGATCTGTTTGCATCAAGAAACTGGCGATTCAGATGACAAGGCACTTCATCTCCCCGTCCCGCCTGAACAGCCGAGAGATTCAATGAGATTCTATGAGTCCATCATGTCCACTCGTTGCAGATGCTTAGAGGAAACACATTGCATAGTATGGACATATCGATTTTGAATATCTTACATGTCCCAGACATATGAGCTCGTATAAACATCTTGCAAGGGTATCTCTCCAGGTCGACCTACTGTTCCTTTGACCCATCGAAGTCTTCCACAAGAACCTCTAGGAGTCGAACGGACAGATCCATTTTTGTCATATTTTTTTTCGGCCAGAAACCTTTTAACAGGCGAAGTCCTGGAACACACACACACCTTTGAAAAGGGCGGCACGACCTCGGACAGTTGATCTATTTGGTGGCATATGAATCCATACATTGGGGTGGTTTGAACAGGGGTCATGTACAGGGGCGGCATATATACCAGTCCCATGGAGCGTCTGGGATAGATGGAGATGCATATCACGCCTTCCGTCTCTCTCTCTCTCTCTCTCTCTTCGGTGAGTGCCTTCCTGAGTTTCCCAAGGCTCGCCGGCTCGGCTGGGCACCGAGCGCAGACGTGGTGCACGGGTCGGAGGCCCCACAGGTGGATGAAGCAATGACTATAAGTGTTCTTCCCAAATTGAAAATCTGTTCTTTTTTTTGAATAGGGGGACTTCCCAACCACTCAATCGATTTGTTGGTTTTCGATTTTTCCAGAGGTTTCTGGGGCGTTCCGGCATTCACATACGCACTTTGATCTAGGACGCAAGAATTCTGCTTGGTGGTGTGAAAACGAGCGAATCCCGGTGAAGCACCATCGTGCCGAAGGACCAGCTGGAGCAGCACTGCGCTCGCTCGCGCAGTCGAAGCCGAAGTCGCGAGAAGCAGGAGAGAGCGGATGAGGATACGACGCCCAAAGATGGCCGAACGACACCGCGACCGCTGGCTGAAGGCGATTTTGGTCGTCTCCAATTTAGAGAGAGAGAGAGAGTGCAAGCACAGTGGAAGAATCAAGCGTGATTGCTGAAAGAAGTGCAATGAATTCCTTTGCAGGATTTGTATCTCCTTGGCACACAAGTGGATGAGCACCACTGTTTTAGACGGTGAAGATATCTTGGCTCTTGGTCGGTTACGATCAAATGATGTGCATTAGGACCACTTCATCGTGTGTCTTGCAACATGTGTATTGCCAGTGCAGTCATGTTGAAAGACCCTTTTCTTCTTGGCCTTACTTTCACGTTTAGGCCGCCCGAAAGCAGCTGCGGAAGACGAAGAAGCTCCAAAGCCGAGCTTCCAGGGGTCTCCTGCGGCCGCGCCGGGCGCGCCAGCGCCCACGGCGCCTGCAGCGCCTGCCGCAGCGGCTCCTCCTATGTCGGATGCCTTGGATGTTCCACTCGTTGTGAGTGGCGGTCAGAATCAGACCATTCGTGAAATTGTGAGAGGCACCTATTTCCGCAGTGGCAGCAACCACGGAAAGCCCGTCTACAAGAAGAAGCGTGAGGTGATAGAAGACGATGATGATGATTTGGATGTTTTGATATACTTCTGGGATGAGCGAGATGGTGATGAAAATTGTGGCTGGTGGTTCAGCCCCAGCATTGGTGGCGACATGGTTTGGGCATACCACCCCAGTCGCAAGGCCTGCTAGTCTTGTTGAAGTAGTCAAGATTCCTCATGGTTCTTCTGCTTTTCAAGCTGGCAAAGAAGACAAGTCTGAATCACTCTGAAGTTGTTCTGACACATCTTGTTTGGATCTGTTGTACATGTGACCGTGCCCCCACGGCCGTTCTCAACCGCTCCCAGGCTGCGATGCCACCTTCAGCGGCCTGGAATGTGCCGCACGATGGGGCGATCGACTCGAGCTTCTCGGTGACTCCACAGCGAAGCGCCGAGGCGCGGTCCCCGCCGGTTCGCCGGTTCGACGACCGAAACGTCCCGTCCGGTAGACCCCGCCCGGTAGACCCCGCCCACGTCCACGTCATTCGATGTTTGTGGCAAGCTTCGGTGTTTCTTTTTTCGGTCCGGGCCGTAGGCAGTTCAGTACTGCCTCAGAGATTCATGGACTTCGGATGGGAAGCTTGGGGGTTAGAGCTTCCCAATGCTTCCCAGGCGACATGTGGTCCACTCGATCCTAAAATATTTTTAAGACTAGTTTTTCGCTTTTTGTTCTGCCTGGAATGAGAGGAACGCAATACTTTTAGAGAGCGAGTGATGGGAAGCGTGAGGGAGGAGCTTGGGATGTCACACATGTGGTGGCCAGATGATGTGAAGAAAGATGCCACCTACACCAAAACACCCAAACACACCCGATGTGCCGATCCAACTGGGGAACAGCCACGAGAGACGCCCCGTCTGAAACATGTCGGGTGTTTGGTCCGAAAGAGGGTTTTGGTCGCGGCTTGGTGAAAGACATATAAGAGCCAGCATATATATATATATATCAAAATTGATCATCAACGTGTTTTTGGTCCGCAAAACTCCTTAGGAAGCTTTCAGCAGCTTTGTGTGTCAACGGCCTGCGCCCTGCGTTCCTTTGACTTGACTATACGTGTTCGGAAACGTGGTTCATTTCTTGCAGTGATCCGCGCCAACGACGATCCTAGTAATGGCATGTGGTGACGCCCGACACGCGGTGACGCAACTAGTAGCTTCTCCTAGTTGAAATGCCAGGAGCTACTAGCAGCGATGCCCTATGTTCCTATAGTAGCTTCTGTTTTGACGAATTCCGAAATCGCTCTTCAGAGGCGAGAAGCAGGAACAAGGCGAAGAAGGAAGAGCCTTCGAGTGCGCCACGAGAGAGCAGTCGAAGCCGAAGTCGGCAGAAGCAGGAGACGGCGGAGAAAAGACAGACGATGCTCCAAGATGGCCGAACAAAGACATTGAAAGGCCAGTGACCTTGGGGGATTTTTGGAAATCTGGATGAATAAGGAATGCTCACCTTTGAAGTCAGTTCCATCTTGCGGAGGGGTCACTCGTCAAATTCGCTGATCTTGAGGTTACAAATGGTTACATATAAAGCTGACCTAAGCTCCCAAATCAGGACATGTGACACACGGAAGCTATAGTTCATATGCCCCAAAAGATGACGTATAGCAACACCAAAACAGAGATGAGATGAACACAGTGTCCATTACATCACATTTCTACGTGCTCTAGCTAGCATTGTAAATTGCAAGCTGAAATGAAACAGAGACGGTGTGAGAGTGAGGAAATGCCACTGCCACACTTCCACAAGATTCCGGACCTTTTGGCACGTCGACATCCAAGTTTGCCAGGCAACGTGAAAGCAAAGGAATCCGCACCGGCTTCCGCGGCTTCTTCGGCTTCTGCGGCTTCCGCGGCTTCTGCGGCAGCGCAAGCAAATCCCTTGGATGTTCCACTCGTTGTGAGTGGCGGTCAGAATCAGACCATTCGTGAAATTGTGAGAGGCACCTATTTCCGCAGTGGCAGCAACCACGGAAAGCCCGTCTACAAGAAGAAGCGTGAGGTGATAGAAGACGATGATGATGATTTGGATGTTTTGATATACTTCTGGGATGAGCGAGATGGTGATGAAAATTGTGGCTGGTGGTTCAGCCCCAGCATTGGTGGCGACATGGTTTGGGCATACCACCCCAGTCGCAAGGCATGGTTTCGCTGGAAGGAAGGGTTGAGATTTGTTTTAGTTTCACTCGGGTGTAGAAGATTGAGATCTGAAGGTGTTCCAACAGTACTGTATTATGAAAGTTGTACCAACGGATTTTGTGTTGGACATACTCTTAAAAAGTGCAATTGTTTGTTTGGTCAGTGTACAGCATGCTGAATTTGTGACATGAAACAGGACATGCTTTATGAAGCAGCATGAGCAGTGGCCATGGCACACCTATATAATAGTTATTTATTTGGGGACCGCTATATGATGCTCTATTTCTTTTTCGGATCCTAACCTGATTCTACACCAACATACAGTTACAGGATCTACCTTCCCAGCAGATGCTTTGTTTTCATCCATGTCAGCGCCGCGTTGCGCCAGGCTCTGACCCCACCTCCAGCCGCCTGGAATGTGCCACACGACATGCCGATCGACGTGACCTTCTCGGTGACCCCGGCGGCGGATACGCGCGCCTGATGCGAGGTGCGCGGTGAATCGACACGTCGAGTGTCTCTGGGAACGACACGAGTTCGGGCCTTTTGGGCCACCGATCTCAGCCGAAATGATCTCCCTATTCCCATATAGATGGTAATCATGTGCATGCAAATTGAGCCCTGCAAGTTGTGGGGCAACTTCAATGCCAGGGCGGTGGGTTTTTCCTGCGCCTCGCAGGGCCTGACGTGGATGCAGCGATCCTGCCTTGCCGATGCCTTTTCACACATTCATTTTTCGCGTTCACATGATGGTTCTGGAGGGTTCTAAAGTTCTGTTGGACTCTTTTGCTGGAAGCTGGTTGTTGCGTTTCAAGTGAACGCGCAAAACGCAAAGCCTTCACCCTTTGATGCCAAGTACAGTATGTGCTCTCATGAAGACCGAACGTCACTTCGAAGACGTTCCACGACGTCATGGCTGTGAGTCAAAATCCGGATTTCTCGTTCACCAGGCTAGATTGACATAGGTTGACCATATCAGGTAGTGGATCAACCAGGGTTGACCATATCGGTGCCATGACACACATCCGGATGCGAGGACGGCACACCGGTGCCATGTTGCGAACGGCGCCCAAGTTGTGTTGCCAAAAGTTCTGCAGAGTTCTGGCATCAGTTGAATATTCTCGCTTTTGTAGCGACATCGGCGCGTGGCAAAATCACATTGAAAGACTCAAACTACTGCAACAGTGAGACCGACATTGGGTGAAGTCCCAAATCGAACCACCTAGGTCTACAGGTCTTGCAAAGATGCTAGTGGACCAATCTATTCTTGGGGTCCTCATGTTGCTGGCCATAGACACTTCGGAACCATGTCGATGGTCGCAATATTGTAGCTGCAAGCTGCTCATGACCTCCAAGTCAGCAGTTTCCGCAAACGTAGATGCCTCCAGTCAACCTGCGGCCAGCTCAGCTACGGACGATGCACCACTAGTGATGGACCATGAAAACGAGTGTGTTCACAAGATTTTCGGGGGAAAAGTTGAATTTCCAAAAACATGTCTTGTTATATGACAATGAGCATCTCAAAGCGCCTCACCCAAGCTTCTTGGCGTTGCGCGCCATCGTGGGCGCAGCCATCGTGGGCGCAGCGCACGAGGCGGTGTCCGTCGCTCGAAGGGTCGGAGAGTCATGGCCGAAGAGTGGAAGCAACATACTCTTTTGGTTTTGGTTTCGGTGGGAGCCCGTAGATGTTTGTAGATATTGTTTTTTTCAACTCGTTACTTGACATGATTGATCCCACTGATATCTTTCAAGCTGAGTTGAAACCACCAGTTGAGCCAGTTCAGCGCCGTCATGCCGCGGTGGCCCCGCGCGCCGAGAGCGGTCGGTCGCCCAGAGCGTTCGGCGTGACGAGTTCGACTTCGATTTGAAGCGTTTAGAGGCCGACGATCTGAGAGATGTCTCCTGGGAAGAGATACTGGTTGATTGATACCGAGATGTCGCCCATGTGATAATTAGTTGATACCGAAAAATCACTCTCCAAGGATCCATGATCCATGTTCAGGGTTAGTTTTCAGGAGGGTAGGCTCTTGGGGTCTCTTCAGAAAGCTGGCCAGATGTACATTGTCTCATTGTGTTGTCATAGCATGTCATAGCTGCTGCTTGTCTTCCCTCAATGCACGGTTCAGTTGTGGTGCCACTCTGCTTGTCTTTGATTCTGAACATGAGGATTGCGGAACCACCTCTTGATACCTCTTGGCCTTTTCCAATTTGATGAGACTTCTTGTTTGACTCAAATTCTGTATGAGTCGATTGCAGTTCGTCGATTGCCGTTCTGTTCGTTGACCTAACTCATTTCACATCCTGTGGACCGTCGCGGCGACGGCGACGGAGATTAACGGCACTCAGAGGTTGGGATGACAAACTCCTGCCAAAGGAGAAGAACTCTGTTTAGATTTGTTTGGGTGGTCCTGCAACGATTTCTCGTGTTCTTTCGCGGTTAGAAGAGGGAACGTGCTTCGCGGTTAGAAGATGGAGGGAACGAGCGTTTTTGGGGGTGAATCACTTGTGATCCACTTGTGTCTGCTGTGCCAGTTCTCAGAGGGAATTGCACAGGTGCTTCGAAACGGATTAATCGAAACAACACAGCCGAAGGAAGGAAGACATTGACAGAATAGAACAGCTTAGAGCTTCCAATTGGCGTCGTTTCCAAATCTCTTTGGGGGTTTTCTAACATGTATGCGCCTTGCACCCTCCCAAGATTTCTGCGGAATGGCTACATGACGACTCGCGCGTGCGCTGTGCACCAATCCGCGCACGCATGAGCACGTTCCTGGAGCAATGGCCAGGTGAGAATCCAATTGGATGTGTGTGTGTGTGGGCACCCAGCTGAGATCTTTGAAGGGATGGCTGGCTGAGTGCTTGGTGGTTGACGTCAACAGTCAAGGGGTTTCGTTGATGGGCATGAGGACCTGGACCTGCCCAATTCGATGTGTTCAGGAAGACTTCCTTGCGGCGAGCCCGTGAATTTGAAAGATTCTATGTCCACCATGAATGCCTCCATTACCAGGCATGACGAAACCCAGAATCAGGCACTCAAAAAAAGCATTCAGTGACATGCCCTAGTGCTCTCCACTTTCACCATTTCCTTGCTCTCAAGCAGAACTGGCACAAGTGGTAACACCAAAGCAGCAGGTATCCAACTTAGAACGACGGACAGAAACATGACCAAATCTCGGATCCCTCACTTGTTCACTTGCCCTGAAGATCTCCAGATGGTGCTGAATATGGCCGATCCGGCCATTTTGGGAACAGCGGGCAAGGATGCGTTGCTGTGGCTCATCGTGCATGAGCACCAGATCAAGGAGATGAAGCAGCAGATGGCCGAGATGGCAGAGGAGATCGTGAAGCTCAGCCGCAACGAGCCACATAAGACCACGGCTCCGCATGAAGCGAACGAGTCCAGGACGGATGTTTTCTGCGAAGTGTCAGAGCTGTTGGACTTGAAGATGAGCGTGCAGGAGCTCAAGCGGTCGAATGAAGAAATGGCCAGAACTCTACATTCCTTGACGTCCGCACCTGCCGTAGAGGAGAGTCGCCTGGACCGTGTGAAAGTCGATGTGTCCAATATGGCGGGCGATGTGCTTCTGTTGGAGACTTTTCAGCTTAAACTTCCCCCAGCAATCTTGACCACAGAGGACCTTCGCAAGAAACTGGATTGCAATCATTTTGATCGCCTTGTGAGAGGGAGTGAAGTTGTTGGGAGCAAGATCATGGTAGAGAACGGCTGTCCCGAAGTAAGCCTTACGCTCTTGAAGGGCATCAATATCTTTGCCGGGCTCGAAGAAGATGAGGTGAACCGCATCCTCGGCAAGTGTGAAACCGACCCAGATGACGATACTAACTATCCTGGTCACCTTAAAGGCAGCCTTTTTGTTGCAAGAGGTTTTGAATATGATGAGGACAATACATACTTGTTTGATAATCCATACAATGGCTTTGAGCTCGTACTTCTGTGTCCTGATGGCCGCATTCTGGCAAAGTATTATTCCTGGGAAGAAGACGAGGAGGAGATTGCGATCATTGCAGAAGGTAGATTGTCGGAAGAAGACCGTGACACAGGAGTTTTACAGCTTCACTGGGATGCTCGTGCCATGAAGCGCCAGAATGCTCGTGAAAGATATGACTCTGACTCTGACGATGACCTGTATGAATGGCGAAGGCCGCGCTGGAAGCGAATCGAGGATTTTCCAGATGATTTCCCGACTGCCAGGTTTGCTAGAGGGATTTCAGACTCGCCGTGCACCTTATATCCTTTCTTGAAAGATGCAAAGACGTTTCGAACGCGTCACTTGTTCCACCTGTGGGACCTTGAAATCAATGACTCGAAGCACTATTGGCCCAGTTGGCCGTTGCGGGAGGAAGACATCGCCGAGCAGGAACCATTCCTTGACTTGACAGAGGAGCTCTTGATGAAGCTGGGAATGGATCCGGCCAATCTACCTGCGTGGAACTGGGGACAGGACGAATCGAGCGGGTCCAGCGGATCCAGCGGATCCAGCAGATCCAGCGAGTCCTAGAACGAGGAATCAGACGAGGGCCTCTTTGGGGCTTTTAAAGGCCGCTTTGCCCTCCAACCCAAAGAGCGATGGCCTCCAACATCAAAGATGAGTTTTCACTCTGCCTCCGAAGTTGATGCCTCCATGGCAGTTTGTTTGCACTGAAGTGATCCTTTGGCTGTCGGACATCCGACAGCCATCAAAGGCTTTCACCCAACACTCCGTTGTGAATCTCCTTCGCAGGGGTCCAACAGTGGCGCGTCGAACACCGACGATTGGGATCGATTTGAGGGGAGTACCTGGAACGTCGAGGCGACCGCCGTAGCCGTCGCAACTGAGAAGGTCGACTGAAACTCCAATTGCCTGTCATGTACCCATACCAACACCTACCTGATGCATTGATATCGGCAAAGTGATGTGGATGCAGCCGACCAAAACACTCCGACTCGCTCACATGGAAGTGGATGACACACACCACCTACGACTGGTCATCCGATTTCTTGGGGCCGCTTTCCATCCACCTGGACCTTCATGTCGGGGTTCCAGGATCTAGATCCACAACGGAATGTGTGTGGGTAGTCCATTAGAACCCCCGTGATCTTGGAAGGTGCTGGCATGGCTATGTAATGGTTACATACCCATGACTCTGACCATATCCTCCATAAAATGAGGGGTGTGCGCCCCCACACACAGAACTCATGTGGGTATGTATGATGTTATAACCATATGATTGGAACTCAGGGAGTGATTCGACCATTCGCCCAGGGGGGCCTCCGCGCCGAGGTCTCCAGTGCGGTGCGCTGCGGAGGCACCGAGGCAGATCAGCGGGCTCAGGGGTTGGTCGAAGAACGGTGCGGTGGAAAACCACGCTCGTGAGGCGTTAAAATCGCCGTTTTGACGTGAAAAAGAACACCGATTGGGTACTTGGTCACGATGAGACCCTTGCAGGGCGGCGGGGTGCAGCAGCCGGTGTGAGATAAGGTTCTTTCCTACAGGAAGGGAAACGACTCCTTCCAACTTGGATCTGCCAGAAGGTACGTTAAAGTTGACAGTTTGACTATATAATTGTTTTCTGGTTTGTGTGTGTGTCTCCTCGTTCTGATTCAATCTTCTGGCAGGAATGGAGATGCACAGGTCCAGAAATACGAGCTTTCTTGACTTCAAAACCCAGTGTGTTGCCTGGCAAAGCCTTTGTATGATGAAAACCGCTTCCTGCAGACAGGTCCGGAGTCTTCATGACATTCATTGCAAAGTGCGCATGCATTCAACAAGTATTAAGTTATATTTATCATTACTTCCATTGCCAGAAGCATTCATACACTTGCGCGCTGACATAGATTGATGCCAGAGGCCACCATGCATGGCATCAACAGGGAGATCCATCAATCCATAGCCAAGTTTTGATGCCACACATGGCGATTTGGGTTGCGCTGCAACTTTGTTTGGTTTGCTTGACGGAGGCATCTGTGGGATCCTGGTGTCAGGCTGATCCCGGGAGTTGCATTGGGCAGCGTCACAGTCTTGAAAAGAAGGAGACACCAACTCTCAAGGGTGAACACTATGACGGAACCTTGCGCCTTGCGGATTGGGACGGCGATGGTGATACCGATGTGCTGGTGGGAGATGGAGGCTCGATCTGGTTCCATGAAAGACTGGCGCATGACGCCTTCCGCATGCACGAGTTAGTGAAGCTGCGTGCCAGAGAGGGGCAATTGCAGAGTCGCTTTGAAGTGGTTGACTGGGATGGTGACTTAGTAAGCTATCAATTGCCCTTTGGCAGTCTTTTTGCCATTCATCTCGTAGTTAACTAGTTGTAGTCGCGGCAAGTAGTAGTGTTTGGTCTCAAGCACCTCTGCAACCTAGGTGACAAACATTTGGACTTGTTGCTTTGCACCATGGTCGGGGATTTGGTGACTGTAAGCTTGTTGAATCGCTCCTCCCTCCTTCCCATGGAGAACATCTCGGAATTTCCTGAAATCATTCTGCTCACCCATGGATCTACGTGTGACATGTTGGCCAGGGACTTTGACGAGGACGGTGATGTGGATCTTATTCTTGGTGATGACAAATGGTTACCTTCATATTCAAGGTACTTTGAGCGTATTTCTGCCTATCGTGTGGTGGAGCGCACGGGAGATGACAATCCACTAAGTATTTTTAACGGCTCAGTGCAGCAGATTGCTGACATAGATGGCGATGGGCGGTTGGAAATCTTTTCAGGTCAGAAAAAACCCTTTGGGTCAGCCACTTTGAGCCATCTTCACTTACTCAGACGTGCTGCAGATGGCAGCCTTGTGGAGATGGAAAATTCTGTTTGGTCCCTCTCGGGTCCATTTGGATCTGATCTGGAGGTTGTATTCTTCTTTGAAATTCATGTGGCCGACTGGAACTCGGATGGGCTGCCGGATGTTCTCAAGGTGTCCGTCGTGGGCTTCGGTGAGAGTGTGACCAAGGGTAAGCTTAGGTGGTGGATTGAAGACTACCGTCAACATGTTCTGGATCTAGACATGAAACTCGATGTGGAAGCCTATGGGGACATTGAAGCAGGTTTCAAAGACCAGGAAATTGTTGTTGACTGGAATGGGGACGGCTTTGCAGATCTGGTCGTTCTGCGCAAGTCAAAAAGCTTGCATCTATACGAACATCGAGATGGGGAATTCAAAGAAGTACTTGATGTTTTCCAGAATGTCACAGCAAGCTTGCTGGGAAAGGGCACTGCCACAGCTGTCATAGTAGACTGGGACATAGATGGTGATTTGGACCTCATTATCTCAACTGAATCAGATGGCAAGTTGCACTACCATGAGATGGTTTCTGGGAACCTTTGCAAGGAAGAACTGCAGCATCCGTTCCAAAACATCACCATTGCACCAGACATCATCAAAGGAAAGAACTACTTTGGATATATCCAGCCTGTGATTGTTGACTGGGACAATGATGGTGACATGGACTTGTTTCTAGGACCTCCAGACGGGCGGTATTTTGAGCAGCTCTCAGATGGCACTCTACGCGAGTGGCCACGTGAGGAAAGCCCAGTCAGTGAGCTGGGAGATACTACTCGGACAAAATGGGACTTCGTGGACTGTGATGCAGATGGTGACTATGACCTCTTGCGAATGGAAGGGGGGGCAAACCCTCGAGTCCAGGTTTGTGAGCATAAGACCTCACATGTCCTGCGCTGTGACGACGCCTTTCCATGCTTAGGAACCAATTTGAGCAAGTTTCGCCCACAAAAGACTGGATGGAGAATGCAGTTGGGCAACGTGGCTGATGGCCGGCTCAAATTCATCACTTACGACTTTGCAGAAAGCAGGGCAGTCCTCTGGAGTTCGGGCATTTGTCTTCCAGCGGACCCTTGCCACTCAAAGGGCCTCTGTTTGAACAGGCGAGCGCATTGCAGTTGCATTGCAGGTCACGAGTTGGCTGATTGTTCCGGCTGCGAGCCGCATTTTTACAGCGTGCAGCGGAAGGTAGGGCAGATGCACGACTGCAAAGCATGCCCAGGTGCCCGTGGCAAGGTTTGCTACGGCCGAGGCAGCTGCTTTGATGATGCGGCAGGAAAGATGCTTGCTGAGGAATCTACAGCTCGGTTGATGGCCACAGGCAATGGCTCATGCAGTTGCAACGAGGTTCATTTCTATGGAAAGGACGAGGAAGGCCGAAGCACATGCATTCATGGCATTTGCCCAGCTGGCACCGAAGAGAACGATGGCAGTTGCAATCCCTGCGCTGGTGGGACCTTCTCATCAGAAGGTGGCTCTTGCACGCTTTGCCTTCCCGGAACCTTTTCTTTCGCAAGAGGCAGCATGTGTTTGACTTGTGCCCCAGGAACCGTTTCAACCGAATCAGGTGCTTCTGAGTGTGATGCATGTCCTGCAGGGACATATGAGGTTGATCATCAGTTGTGCAATGAGTGCGCAGCAGGCTTGGTTTCTGCTAGAGGTAGCAACACATGTACCAAATGCCCTGCTGGATCGCATGCACCAAAGTCCGGAAGCATCACATGTGAATCGTGTGCAGCAGGCACCTATGCAGGGGAGGCCAGCACAGAATGCAGGTCGTGTCCTTCAGGAACTATTTCAAGCGAAGCGAGTGGAAGCTGCAGCCCATGCGATGCTGGCAGTTTTGCTAAATCATCCCTTACATGTGAACAATGTCCTGGGGGCACCTTTTCCAACCCAGGAAGCAAGAACTGTCAGAGCTGCCTCCCTGGAAAGTTCTCCTTGACAGGAAGCAGCAACTGTTCTGACTGCCTTCCAGGAACAGTCTCATCACCAGGTAGTTGGTCCTGCGATGCATGTCCAGCTGGAACCTTTGCTTCTGCAGGAAGCAGTGTGTGTGAAGCCTGTCCTGTGGGGCACGTGTCCAGCCCAAACAGTGGTGCCTGCGAGAGCTGTGAGAGCATCTTCATCCGATCAACTCCTGATGACAAGAAACAGAGCTGCCAAGTGCTTGCTATGGATGTCGTTCTTGGCCTGATCTTCTTGAGTACATGCTCTTGCTTTTCTTTTCTGTCTTTGACAGGCTTCTCGGGGCGCATTCCCATTTCAGATGTGTCTGCACAGGGTCAAAAGGTTGTGGTGACAACTTCCACTGCGCACGGTCTCCACAAGTGGGCATGCCCAAAGGTGACCTTCGCTGGAACCGATGTTCCCGATCTGGAGTCGTCGAATGACTGGACCATCAAAGCCTTGAGCTTGTACCAAGTGACGCTGCATGGCGAGAGCCCCATGTCACTGGACACGTCCAAAGGACATTTGTACGTGAAGTTTCCGCAAGTCTTTTGGTCCACTGGTCTTTGGCATTGTCCACTCCTATTGTGGTGTTTGCTCTTTCTTGCAGCCAGTGCAGGGCTCGCAAGCCAGCTCACTTGGTCACTGACTTTGCTGTTGTGTGCTCTCGGTCTTTGCGCGGGGTTCTTGGCTTTCGCACTGCGGAGGAGGTGGGGAGAGGTTCCGGAAGTGTCCAGAAAAAGGGTTGTGACCGCAACGCATAGTCAGAAGTCATGCAAAGATATGCTGACCCATCTGTGATTGTCAACAGGATGACCCCAAAACTGATCTTTTGGATAGTCTGAACAAACCTCTTGAGTTGCGTTCCAGGCAAGGTGAAGCAACGCCACTGGTGAAGAGGCGACGACAATTCCTCAAGGAGTGGCCTTTGGCTCTTGAACGATGTAGCCGTGGCCCTGACCGCTCGATGACTGCGGGGAAACTTCACGATTTCTTGCAGAGACTTGACTGAAGAAATGAACAACACCAGACAGTGTGTGGAATAACCACTTCCACATATTTAAAAACAACACGCCCTCTCCCCCCAGAAGAACCCCGGGTGCTTTTTTGTTAATAGTGGATCCCCAAAGATGGAAACCTGGGAAGAGCTTCAAAGCCGAAAAGTAACCCAGGAAAGTTATATACAGATGTAAAATCCTTTATTAAATCATTGAAAAACCATCCAAATCGAAGGTATTTCTTCCTTTTCCCTCTACAAAAACATACAAACACCCTTCATTAAAATAGGGATTCGTCGATATTCTTTGCTTATAGACTCTCAATGACTCTTATAGACTTAAGTTTCATCAGACTAACGACTACAGATTCGAAAGGTGATGTCGCTGCAGTGCCATGCATCTTGCGCGGCCTCGGTGGAAAGTGCGTTTGCGTGGCTTTGTGCCAGTGGGGAAGGGTGCGCACGTGCGTGGAAATGCGGCGTGGCCCTAGTGACCACCAGGGTGGACAACCAGGGTAGACGGCCACGGTCGTTTGGGAACCTAAAAAAAGAAACACTCACCCAAAATCGACCATGTTTGTAGTGTAATAGCAGCTTGAAGAAGGCGGCGTTTCAAAGACACATAGAAGCCCGATTTATGGGCACAAGAGCCAAGCGCCGGAAGCTTGACGCAGCTTTCTAGCCTAGCCGGTCTCACGGAGCCACGAAATGCGACCAAAAACTGACCACCAACAGCCCCAACGAGTTGCATGCAACAACCAATAGGGAATGGATGGGAATGGTATATCCTCCTAGCGTAGCAAGTAGCAGGTCAATTGTTCTTCGGTTCCCAGTGCTTGGCACCTTGAGGTTCTTCGAGACCTTCATCAAGGAGCGATCCATGTACTACGCATGTTCCAACATTGTGAAGCCGCTGACCAAGCCCTTTCAGCTGTCCTTCGTGGAACTGGTTGGTTCCAGGAAGATCCAATGGTTCGCAAGTCACTACTGGGGCATGCCACTTCGCCACTTCAGCGATGCCATCCGCAAACATGCCCAGTGCTTTGAAAGGGATTGGCGAGATTCAGCATATTGGATCTGCACCTTCAGCAACAGTCAGTGGCATGTGAAGGAAGAGCTTGGGAATGGACAATGGGAGAATTCATCCTTCTACCTTGCTCTGAAATCTCCAGAGTGCAAGGGCACCACCATGATTATCGATGAATTGGTTTTGCCACTTCAACGAATTTGGTGCCTTTTTGAAGTGTACCAAACCATTAGCCTGCCGCGGAGTGACCCGTTTCACGGGTTGCTTCTTTGTACCTCCACGGGCGTTTTGCAGCAAGGCAAAGCTGGTACTGATGTCGCTGTGGCCGTGGCCAAAACGGTGGCCGTGCTCGACACACGTGGTGCCCAAGCTACTTCTGAAGAAGATCGTCTCATGATTCATGATCTCATTGAAAAGATGCCAGGAACGCAGATTGCGCTCCTCGAAACGATAGCTACCGTCGGAGAAAGACACATCAGTGCCAATTTTTTGATTCTTAAAAGGTTAAATTCAATCGATTGTTCAGTCACATCAAACTACCCGGATCACCTCTTTTCCAGGAGGCTTTGACACCATGAACACCTTTGTGCGGGATAATATTTGCCAGGCTCTTGAAGCATCTCATCGTCACTACGAGACGACCGTCACTTGGTTTTGCTCAAGGCAAATTTTTCCCGAATGCGTAGCGAAGGGTTCTCGTTTAACTCTTGGGGGTCTGGGGGTGGAGTCTTGTTCGCGACCCGTTGTTTCTATGCTTGCAACCGTCCGCAACCGTTCGCAACCGTTCGCAACCGTCCGCGGTAGAGCGCTAAGGCGCTGCCATTGGGGGAAGCTTTTGCAAGTGACTTTTCATGGATGTGTCCCGTGTCAGTTTGCGCCGCTATTCCATTGTGATTTGCATGAGAAAGACATGTCGCGCAAGCAACGTGATGCGTTTCGCTGCACAGGCGCAGCGTTTGGTGAGATCTGCAGATCGCTGCGCAGTTCCATTGGGATTAGCGTTTGGAGAGTCGTGTTTTTGGGGTGTTGGATGTGTGGCATCGAAGCTCTGTTTTCGTGACAAGTCTCAGCTGAAATGCCGATTTTGGTGGATGGGAGTGTGCTCAGAACGGGTCGAAATCATTCCAAACGTGTGGTGTGGTGCAAATTTTGTTGAAGCTCACATGAGATGACATTGCTACTTTTCGTGGCAGGCGCAGGACTTTGTGCGGGTTTTGAGGTGTGGAAGTGGGATTTTCGTGGCAGGCGCAGGGAATCGTGAGGTTGCGATGTGTGGCGGAGGTGACATTTCGTGGCAGACGCAGTACCTTTGTGCGCGTTAGACATGTGGACGCGGAAAGATTCGTGGCAGGCGCAGGGAATCGGGAGGTTGTGGGTTGTGGTAGAGGTGAATGTCGCTGTCACATTGGGATTGGCGTGTGAGCGGGTGTCGTTTGGAGGGGCTGGAATCGCGAAACTGCTTGGCAGGGCTGCGTGATGTGTGTGCTCCGATGGGTGTTTCCGCTGGACTTTTGGAGGAAGTCTCGCGCGAAACGTTCGTTTTGCAGACTTTGACATGTGAGTTTTTGAGGAAGTCTCGTACAAAACGCTCGTTTTGGGGACTTGACATGTGACTTTTGGAGGAAGTCTCGTACGAAACGCTCGTTTTGGAGACTTGACGTGTGACTTTTGGAGGAAGTCTCGTACGAAACGCTCGTTTTTGAGAGGAATCTCGTACGAAACGCTTGTCTTGCAGCATCGCAGCGTGACTTTTGGAGGAAGTCTCGTACGAAGAGTGTGCCCTACAAGAGTGTCCCACAAGAGTGTCCTACAAGAGTGTCCCACGTCCCACAAGAGGAAACTGCTTGGCAGGGCTGCGTGATGTGTGTGCTCCGATGGGTGTTTCCGCTGGACTTTTTGGAGGAAGTCTCGTGCGAAACGTTCGTTTTGCAGACTTTGACATGTGAGTTTTTGAGGAAACGCTCGTTTTGGGGACTTGACATGTGACTTTTGGAGGAAGTCTCGTACGAAAGGCTCGTTTTGGAGACTTGACGTGTGACTTTTGGAGGAAGTCTCGTACGAAACGCTCGTTTTTGAGACTTGGCGCGTGACTTTTGGAGGAAGTCTCGTACGAAACGCTCGTCTTGCAGCCTCGCAGCGTGACTTTCGGAGGAAGTCTCGTACGAAGAGTGTGCCCTACAGGAGCGTCCCACAAGAGTGTCCTACAAGAGTGTACCACAAGAGTGTCCTACAAGAGTATCCCACAAGAGTTTCCAACAAGAGTGTCCCACGAGAGTGTCCCACGAGAGTGTCCCACAAGAGTCTCCTGCAAGAGTGTCCCACAAGAGTGTCCCACAAGAGTGTCCTGTATGAGTGGCCCACAAGAGTGTCCCACAAGAGTGTCCCACAAGTGTGTCCCACAAGAGTGTCCGACAAGAGTGTCCCATAAGAGTGACCCACAAGAGTGTCCTACAAGAGTGTGCAACAAGAGTATCCCGTAAGAGTGTCCCACAAGAGTGTCCCACAAGAGTGTCCTGCAAGAGTGTTCCGTAAGAGTGTCTCACAAGAGTGCCCCACAAGAGTGTCCCGCAACCATGTCCCACAAGAGTGTCTGACAAGAGTTAAGAGTGTCCCACAAGAGTGTCCCACAAGAGTGCCCCACAAGAGTGTCCCACAAGAGTGTCCTACAAGAGTATCCCACAAGGGTTTCCTACAAGAGTGTCCTATAAGAGTGTCCCACAAGAGTGTCCCACAAGAGGGCCTAGAAGAGTGTCCCACAAGAGTGTCCCGCAAGAGTGTCCCAAATGAGTGTCCCACAGGAGTGTCCCTTCAGAGTGTCCCACAAGAGTGTCCCACAAGAGTGTCCCGCAAGAGTGTCCCAAATGAGTGTCCCACAAGAGTGTCCCACAAGAGTGTCCCGCAACAGTGTCCCACAGAGTGTCCCAAATGAGTGTCCCACAAGAGTATCCCGCAAGAGTGTCTCACAAGAGTGTCCCTTAAGAGTGTCCCACAAGAGTGTCCCGCAACAGTGTCCCACAAGAGTGTCCTACAGGAGTATCCCACAAGAGTGTCCTACAAGAGTGTCCCACAAGAGTGTCCTGGCAAGAGTGTCCCACAAGAGTGTCCCACAAGAGTGTCCCACAAGAGTGTCCCGTAAGAGTGTCCCACAATAGTTTCCTACAAGAGTGACCCACAAGAGTGTCCCACAAGAGTGTCCTACAAGAGTGTCATTTGGACATATGTAGCTTTTTGAACGTGTTTGCATTCGGGTTCGTGGGTTCCATCTTGTTTATTCTTGTCAACCTCACACCTACCAACCTACAAACAATTGGCAAACTTCAAACCTCCAAATTTGGATTCGGATGGTTTATTGATCGTTTTTCTTCGTTTTGTTTCCTTTCGGTGTGGAGAAAGATCCATGCCAGGTCACCACTTTGATGAAAGATCTCACGACCGCCAAGTCCTCTGGACCGACCACATCCTCCGCACCGACGCTCCCGACTTTGCTCACTTCCTCCACACGCCACGCCACAGCAGAGAAGGTGGAGGAGAAGGCGGGCACCAACTAGACCCAGCAAAGCGCACATCACAAATTTCCCAAGATCCAACATATGAGAAGGTGGAACGCCTTAGGCTGAATGGACCATTTTCCCAAATTTGTTCTGCAAGCTTTTTGTGCGTCTTTGGGCACATCCGAGTGGGTCAAAAACTACAATAGGTGCAGTTACATAGTGGTATACATAGTAGCTAACCAGGTAACTGGTTCTATCTTCAGTGGATAGAAAGATTTGGACCTCTTGTGCCCGAAGTTAATTGGAATTCCAGCATTTTTTCCAAGAAGTCAGGCTGCACAAGGCAGCCAGCGGCTTTACAATCCTGTCATCTTGCAGGAGAAAGATTTTGCCAGTGGCCATGCTCACAGATTTTAGATCATGTCTGGGCAAACTGTGTTATGTTCTATAGCGAATCATGACCACTTCCCGTCCCTCTCACGGGATGCAATACCTACATCCGCAGCTAGGATTGAATTTTGAGCAGCCCCCTTTGACTGACAGCCTGGCATGCCTAGGATGGTGGCCATGCGATTCTCACCTTCGGATTGTTTTGCCCTTCTTCTTCGTCACAGTGGGCTGCAACCAGACGTGGGGTGGGGTGATGGCTCGCCCCCCCTTCACCCAATTTGAAGGCGTGGGGTCCCAATTCGAAGGGCCGCCACGCCCGCTCCTGCGTGTCAGCAGAACGCGCAGACCGAGCAGACTGAGCAGACCGCGTTGCGCTTCGTTTCGGGCAGAAATGGCAGAGCTGGATACCCACGGTGCTGTGCGAAGAAGACCATAGAAGACCTACTAATGATTTGATTATCATTGGTTCATTGAGATGCCAAGGAATTGATTCGATGAACGATGAACACCTTGGTGCTGTAGAAGCCTCAACGATCATGGGCTCTTTGTCAAAGATCAGAAGTCCCACGTTTCACGGCTTGGTCGTTGAACGTCGTTGAACGGACATCTCTGCACATGTTTTCTTCATCTAATTCTGTTGATTCTGTCAGGCGGCCCCACTGTTGTGATGATTTTTTGTGCAAAAACCAAGCAAAACGATTCTTCTCCCCGCTGGCAGGCAGAGTCGCAGGCCTCCCATGCATCAGCCGCCCGGTGCACGGTGCGGGGTCCGGCCACCCAAAGTGGAGGTCTGAGGCGACAAAGCACTTGATTGCATGGCAAAATGCTGGTGTGACATGTTTGGTCGGACATATATAGGGTAAAACAGCGGGTCGACATGTGATATATCTACCTCTTTTATGCTTAATTTGGATAATTAGGTCAATTAGGTCACCATCTTTTTACAATTTGGGAAGTACACCGATTCATATCTTTTTGTGGAACCTACTGCGCAGCAACATGTGCTCGGCGACACCCATGCAGTTATGAATCCAATCTCAAGGCTGGGGTGAGGCGGGCCAGGTTGACCCAGCTCTAAAAATGGTCAGAATGATGCGAAAGAAACCTGCAATATTTGACCCGGCTCAAAAAAGTGTCCTGGCAGACTCAGATGGGGAGGCATGAGCGCCAGCACTTGCTCCAAGGGTCAGAGGTGACGTAAAAAAGGGTCCCGCCAGAAAGATGCCAGGTGCAGACGGTCTGCAGACGTACTTTTCGAATCTTTTTGATGGTTTGTCAACAGCAGGACCAACACGACGATACTCCAAAGGTGTTTTGCAGCTTCCGAGACCTCCGGGTGGCCTTTTGAACACTTGAACATCGCATCGTTTCGGGCTCCCCGCCATGGTGGAGATGATGGAACCCGAGGCCGGGGCAGTGAAACATTGGTCCGTCAATCAGCGTCTCCAACCGATGGGCAGATGCTTTTCCATGCCCCCGACATCAAGCCACAGATGTGAAGTTTGTTTTCCACTAACTCAGTATCTACACTTACAGATTCCAAGAAAACAGATTCCAAGTAACACTGGCAGTTTGTAACACTAACAGATTCCAAGCCGCAAGAAAAACCTTTGTCAATCAGCATTAAACTCAACGCCCTGGTGACCGTTCCTCGTCGGACCGCCACGCCGTGCAGCCGGGGAACGAGGCGGCGTGGCAGATCCCTGGGAGCCCGCAGAACGAGCTGCCGCAGTGCCGTTTTTGCTTGGAAGAAGGGACCATTGAGGACGTTGAAAGCGGGAAGGGGAAAGGGTGATGGATGTGATGGTCCACGCATGGGGCTGGTTCGAGACGAACAAGACTGTCTTGGGGGACTCCAGGTAGCTGACAAGACGATAAGATTCAGATTTGAACAGCATGTTTTTTTCCTTTGGTCGTTAGTTGAAAGCCGCCTGTGATATGTTTTGATGCGCATTCTTGGAACTATAGTCACTTGACCTTCAGCGCGGGAAAGAACGCCCTTCGGGCATGAAGGTCCATGAAACCCAACTGTTGTTTTGCAGGTCGTGCGCGCGTCCATCAGCGATCGGATCTGGCCCAACATGGAATGTATGTGACCACATTGTATGCCTACATGTTCCCGAGCTTCTGGTTGAAATTCACAGTTCAGGATTTCTATGACACACCAGAATGTTCTTACGTGACGTTTTTCAAGCCATCATTCCGTTTAATCGCATGTTTTATTCTATCAAGTTTCATCAGAACGACACTGCTGTGATAGTATGATGTTCATATTCGTGTTGTCCATCAGTTCCAACATGAACCAAAAACACAAAAAACATCGGGGAACACTCCTTTTTTCATTTGCAGTGACGACTTTCCACTACGCTTCGCACCATGCACGCACGCTTCGCACGCACGCTTCGCACGCGCAGGAGTTCATCACACCATGCAAGTGCGAAGGGACCAGCCGTCGGGGCACTCGCACGGCCTGCACCGCACTCACCCGCGCGGCGCGGGGCGACCAGGGTTTGGGGTTCCCTTTTTTGGAGGGGCTTTAGAGCACCGCTCTAGGCACTGTTGTAGGCACAGACTACAGGTTTTTTGTTGGTGAGCATTGGAAATAGTTTTTTTCGTCGTTTGGCGGAGTTATCGATGTTCGCAGCGTTTCTGGTCTTTCATGTTACCCATGTTTGTCGCGCGGATTCTGCCCCGGAGGCGGCCTTTGACTTGGGGCTGGCGCCATTGCATTCCAAAAGTGGTCAAGACAGCGAAGGATCGGATTTATTTCGACACCCAACCCTAGGGCGTACCTTCGTTTCGAAGGTGGGACTGGGGATGTTTGGGGTGGGTTTAGAGGGTCCAGTCATACCTTCTGAGGAGGTACGACTGGAGCCCTAGGGCAAAACCTGAATTCATTTCGCGAGGCCGATCTGGGGGGAGGCCGATCTCCTCCGCTCCAAAAGCGGTTTCCGGACCGATTTCCCGCCATCGACCCGCATGGGTTCCACCACGCGGAACGGGCGGAACGCGGAGTTTTCTGGGGCTGACATGGAGAAACTTTTGAGATAGGACTGTATCTGGGAGAAGTCTTTGGACACACTCAACTCAGAAAAAGGAACAAAACCATACAGCAACCGTGTTCTAGACTATATACATTTCATTACATTTCTATACAAGCTTGGTTTTTTTGTCATCGACTTTTGACCTCCCCTTCCAGATGACCAGCTACATCTCCCCCATTTGGCCTTCAAGAACACCCCACGCTCCCGTGCGCTCACGACCAACCGCACGACCCTCTCAGGCTTCGTGCACGAGAGTTGCTTGCGGCGTTGGCAGACCGAGGCCTGGAGCGCGCTTTACGTCTTTCGCACAGACGGTTCCAAACAAGCAGAGACAAATGGTTGGTTCCAATACAATAGAAAATGGGGAAAACATCCATTTCTTTCTGGTCGTGAAAGGGGTTCCAGGAATTGAGATACACGAACCCTGGAACGAACATGATGGTGATGTGGATGTCCTGGCCAGTTCGGGTCAGAGCATGTTCACTCCCCAACAGGGAGTGCCATCCACTTCCGGTTCCATGGAGAGTCCTTCACGCTGTATGGTCGATCCTCCAGATCAGAGTGAGGTGATCGACCAGTAAGTGAGTGAGCGAGCACCATGTGGAGTCAGTGAACACAGGTGAAGAGAACCCCACGGTTCCTTTGGTCTTCGGATTGGACGACCGAAGAGAACTCAGGGCGCTTGTTCTCTTCGCATCACATGCCATCCATTTCTCGGGAACTCGGTGCTAGGATGGTCAAGGTCGGGTCCAAGGGTCCCAGAAGGTCCCAGACCTTGAAAGGGCCCAAGGGTTTTAATGATGCACGCATTTGTACTTGAAACTCTTTCTTTTTCGAGGGATCCTTCTTCCCTTTTTCAGTTTAATGATCAAGATACTTGAAGAAGGATCCTTTAAATGGCTGATCCTTTGTGAAACATGGATTGGGTGAGAAGAAGCACATGTCTTGGCAAGGGCTTGGCATGGTCCCCTTGACATCCCGCGGTTGTGGCAGGAACCTCACCAAAACATCAATTGCGATTGGCACGGTGTCAGTGGTGTCCCCTGACAGATGCTTTTGTTGTTCCTTGGGTTTCCCATGAGCATATATATATATACATACACACACCTAGACTACGACACTGGCTGTGAGCCTCTTGAGTGCTTCTCACCCCCCCAAAAAATGACACATCGAATCGACACCCATGACACAGCGAATGAGAAGCAACGCGCCGAGGCCCTTTGTTATGAACACTCCTTGGTCTGCCAAGTGAGCCCATTCCATCGGATGGGGAGAGGATTCCATCGGCCGTGGTGAGGGGGTTGATGGCTGGCCAAGATGGGCTGGACAAGATGGCTGGACTTGGTGTGAACGACCGTGGCCCTTGGATGGGACCTTGATTGATAGGAACCAAAACATGTGAAACTATATATTGGCACTTTATATTGGATTGAACAGGGGCTGGTTTCTCCGCGTGTGGGGATGGGGAAGCTTCAGTGTTAATCAAAAGATGCAGTCTGAGTGACGATCGTCGTCGTGTCGACTCATCGTCCAGACCGGTGAAACATCCATCCATGAAGCGATGATGACGAGTCTATGAACACCCAAACACAAGACTTCAAGGCTTCTCTATGCTTCAAGGTTCTTCACTATATAAACAGCTTATTGAAGAAGAATAGATGAAGAAGAATAGTGAAGACTTCAAAGCTTATCAATTCTTCACTAAACAGCTTTGACGGGTGTGAGATGGAACCAGAACCAGCTGAGCGGCCCCAGGAGCAAGCGTGCCCAAAGGGAGGGACTGCCAACATCATGATACTTATAGATTATAGATACTGTATGACTTTGTATGACATAGATATAATTGCTGAGTATACAGTTTATTTTTTTTGAGGTTGAAGCCCAGGCCGGGAATGGTACCCAAGCTGAAGGCATTTGATCCCATTGCCCTGGGCTCCGGACGTCCCGTCCGCAAGACTTACGGCTCGAGCGAATCGTGGCATCAAGCCGAGAGTTCGCCATGCGGAAGGAGGTGTGCTGGGAGGGCTATGGTGCTGGGGCTGGGCGATGTGTGTGACACAAGCACATGCTGAACCCCCAAAAAGAAGGGTCTGCCCAATGAAAAAGTTGGGAGATACATTGAAATTCATGTCGTCCTGGGGTTAAGGAGGACATCTCTCTCTCTCTCTCTGTGCGTCCCTCTCTCTCTCTCTCTTTCTTTGGAGGAGCTGAGAAGATTTTGTATCATTGGATGCGCAGTGCGCGGAAGAGCGCTAGCCCTTCCAGGTCCCGAGCGGCGGCTGATGCTTTAGAACTTAACAATTTCTGTTGAACCAACATGAAGCCCGATCGCATGGTGTTTGAACCAAGATGGGCTTGACTCATCTTGCTTGAGGAAAAGCGTCCTTTGCAATTCACAGATCAGCCCGCATCAACCCTCAAAATGAAAGGAATCATTAATTTCCCAAGAATTTCTCAACAATCCTCCGGTTTCCTTCCGGGCGGATTTGGCGTTCAACACGTTCAGCGCCCGCGGTCACTCGGCGCGCTGCGCGTCGCTCGCTCCAGGCGAGACCACTGGCCTTGCTGGCCGCAGTGCCTTGACAGGGAATGACAACCTGAACACTTGGAGCCATTCAGTTTACAGTAGCTTCAGAGTAGATGGCACAGACCTCATGATGTCCTTGAGATGGGGGTTCATATAAACCACCTCTTGGGGTCTGTGCCATCTACTCTCAAATGAGTCCCCTGAATTTTTGAATGGGAGAAAGGGGATGTTTCAGGCGCGTGGAGGTAGGGGTGCCTTGTTTGGAGCCAGATCGATGATCTCCACATTTGCGAGTCGTGGTCCAGATAGATGGTCGTTCGCCCACACACCACGAGCTCAGAGCTCATGGAACTAAGACCTTGGCGACCTGTTAAGACCTTGGCCCTCGGGCCCGACATGGCACAACCTCTCGACTCGGAAGAAGCTGGCGAGGTCCCACACGGGTGTCCTTCCCTCCGAAACGCCGAAGTAGCGCGCGAAGCGCCGCCGCCGCGGGGCACACACACACACACACACCCAGGTGGCACTCTGGTGTGGGCACGGGCCTCGGACGTGTGGAGAGACGGGCGTTTGGGGTCGCCCGGGAGACCATTGGGAGCCCCGATCGGAGCGTCGGATCGCTCCGTTCGTAGCGATGCCCTTGTTACTAGTAGCGTTCTTGCTCCTAGTAGTATGGCCAGGAGCCCCGATCGTAGCGTCCTATACCTGGAGGTTACAGAATATGTGTGGATCTGTGAAGATGTGATGCAGAACATGTGGACACATGATGGGTCTCCTGTGGTCTTCTGGTGGATTTCAGAGTGGTGAACCACGGGTGTTCACCTGAAAGTTGGGGGACACTCTCTGAACTCCTGTACATGTGTATATGCATTATATATACATCTGTGCCCTTACCTACCAGATGGTTTCTAGGATTTGTCCAATTGCGAAACGGTCAGATGCCATGTAATTAACGTTACAGGGTTGTTCCACAGAGCGGATGCGCCACGGAGGGGATGCGCCATCCGTTCCTATATAGGGAAAACGGATGCGCGGCAGGGAGGACACTCAGAATGATGATGAATTCATCCACTGCATGCTAATTTGGATATGTATTCATCCAGATTGTACTGAAGCACATCAAGAACATCATCCAGTGCAATGGACTTATCATCTTTAAGACTTCGTTTTCGGTAGGACGCTGAGTGGACCACACACCACCCACCCCCCGCACACCACACACCACTGGAGGTGTCCGCTGTGGCCCCCCCAGGACGGCCTTCGTGCCGAAGCCAGAGGCCGAGGGGCGGGGGGGCTGGGCTCGGTCCTTCGGCTCGACCGAGCCGTGACGCGGCCGTTCCAAGGAGGAGTGACGTTGAGCTCCGTGTTTTCTTTGGTTTGAAGGTTAAACGGTGTTTTCAGTGTCGTTCACCATGTTTTGTCTTCACATGACATGTGGGGTGGGGGGAAAGACACGATCCGGATTTTTTCAACTTGACTCGACTGTAAACACCGACATGAAGGGGAGCAAGCTTTTGGTTGGATTGCAGGGGAGAAGAGTCTGTTTTGACATCCGTTCGAGATGGAATCGAGAGCACATGTCATGGAGGAAGCTCCTGAAAGCAGTGTGTGGAGGGTACTGTCATCAAGAAAGGAGTTATCAGCGGCATCAGCATTGATCATGTGGAATTTTAGTGACTTAGTTCAGCGCTTGTCATGTCGTCCTTGTGTCTAGGTTCTCAACCCAAAGCAACAGCAGCCGACCGGCTATCCCTCATGTGATAGTTCAGTTCAAACATGTCTTCCAAGTTGATATAGAATCCTAATACGTTAGTTTCAGAGTATGATGTTTAGATGAGCATCCAGTAAACCTCTTTGGTGGCCATCCAGCTTCAGGTCATTCTAAACAGAGGCCTTCGATACAAACCCAGAGACACACCAGACCAACACACCGGGTGTGCCCTCGCTTCCGCCGCACATCCATGGCGCGCCGCCGAAGCTTGGAGCCTGGCTTGAGCGCTTGTTTCAGTGGAGGAGTCAAGCTCAAGCGAAAAAGACTACGGACATCCATGGGGTGCCACGCAAAAGGTGTCGGCAAGTGGATGAGTTGATCTTCCAGCCGTTTCCACCAAAAGAATCATTTGCTGCGAAGAAGTGACAAAGTACATCAAAGTACACATTGAAGAGGACCAGCCATGGACCCAATGTCAAGCCAGGGAACCTCCCCAAACCTCACAGCATCAAAGCTCTGGAAGTAGGTGGATCGCTGGAAGATGTTCTTTGCGCCCCCTCTTCTTTCGAGTTCTTGGGATGTCTTCGATTCACCAGCACCGGTCTCTTCACACCCTGGAGCTTCGCCACCATGGCTGTCGCCGCGCCGCGCTCCGCGGGACCGCGGTCCTTGCGGCGGCTTCGTCCACGCGCGGTGACGTGCGCGTGGACGGTGGTGACCGTGGGTCGGGGAGCCACAGAGGGCGGGAGAGGGGAGCCCGGCTGAGGAGATGTGTGGTCCAAATGAATTCCCTCCACCTCAATCCAGGATCCAGTTTTTGGACGAGGTCCTACTGTTTACGCGGTCGCACTGATGACTTAGGCCACATTTGTTTTTGGGGTCTTTGCAGATACAGACGAGAGATGACGAGAGAGATGAATGAAATGAATTACCATGAATGACCTATTGGTTTTGAAATCGCTCCGAAGAAAGAAGCCTACTGTTTGTGAGTGGGAGGGTCCGTAGTATCTCACGTGAAGAATGAAGGTACTTTGCCCAGATGATCGCAGATGTATACTCTGGAATAGTTGGACACGGCCCCTTTTCCGCAAACAATGTATGCATGCTCATCAATTTCATGTGGTCATATTCTTTTCATCCACGATCTTCAATTATTGACTTGATCATTTCGTCTGCCGGAATGGACCGCAGATGCTGCCATGTGATTCCACGATTCCATATGGAAACCACTTGCGTCATGTGTGTGACACTTACGACTTCAGCACTTTCCCTCAGGAACACTGGGCCTGTTGGGCCTCCAAAACGGCCTTGGCTTCACCAACACTGTCCTTGGCTGGGCACGCGATCTGCGGAAGAGGTGTGCTGGGCCGTGCAATGATCCCTTCAGTTTTCTCTCTTTTAAATCAACAGTTACGTTCACGTTTGATGGACAAGGATATGGTTTTGTTTCACTCATGTTCACTTCACACACACTATATCGAGCTTGTACATGCACGATCATGGCGTTCTTTTCAATATCATCAAAGCACCATCTTCCCCCTCCGAGCTTCTCGATGGTCAAACAGCGTTTTCACCCTGTGCATGTTTTCGAAAGGCAGGCGTCGCAGTCCTCCAGATGCCTCCGGGCAGTACCAGAGCTGTGTGTCTTCGACTTGGATGCCTGCCTGTGGGACAAGGAGGGGAGCTTCCGTCGGTCAACGATCTGCAGCAAAACCAGCGAACGGGTGATGCCGACCACTTAGAATCGTTTGAAGAGACAACAAAGTGCCCCAAAAGACCAGTGTTCCCTTGAAATAGTTTTGGCTTTGGGAACCGCCTGGAACCGTTGCTGAAGTGACACCACGTCGACGGAACCTTCTGTCATGATCCCGTTTCGGAATCGATAGACCGATAGACAACAGAAGGTTCGTTCAGGTCGTTCGAGACGTGACGAGAGAGGCACCTCCAATAAAGACCGGGCGATCCGCTGCAAATTCCATCCCCTCAAATGGTTTCATTTGGAAGGTTACCTCTTCCCAGAACCTGCCAGCAATGTTCGTTTCCTCATGTGTTGACAGGAGATGTTTGAGATGGAAGAGATTCCTGGTGAGAAAGATGCAGTGCGAGGTGCATTAGCCAGTTCATATTTTTCCCGAGAGCGTCTGCGAAGGGTTCTTCGCAAAAAAACATCTGCAGAACTACGTCTCATCTACATCTTCACATCTTCACCTCTGCACATCTACATGTTCACCTCTCGCTCTTGGGGGCGGTGCCGCCAGAGCACCATGAAACGCAACCCTCTGCGGAGATCGTGCGTGTCGAGGGCGCGAAATGCAGGTGAGATTGCGTTTTGGACTTGGAGACTTGGCGCTGCACTTTTGGAGGAAGTCTCGTACGAAGCGCTGGCTTTGGAGACTTGGCGCTGCACTTTTGGAGGAAGTCTCGTACGAAGCGCTCGTTTTGGAGTCTTGGCGCTTCACTTTTGGAGGAAGTCTCGTACGAAACGTTCGTCTTCGGAACACTCGCCTTCGGCGAATCAGGCTCGGATGAAAAGATCAAAACCTCGAGCGCATGTTGTCCGAGAATGACTCAATGACAAAACCATCACCAACCTCAAAACTCATCGCGTGAGGTTAGGGCTTGAGCCTGGCTGAAGGGACGCTCAACATCATCTACTTAACTTGAAAGCTCTGTCAAGGGGGGGTCGGATTCTGGCACCAGCTAGCCGTACCGCGTCGCGTGCGTAAACAGAGTCAGCTGCTGAAAATGACGAGCTATCGTATCTGGAGGATGAGGAAAGAGCGTGATGAGTTCTATACAAGTATGACGACTATCGCGGTGAGAGAGATAAGCTTTAAGGGCAGACTCACTCAAGGATGAACTCGACCTGAGGCAACACCAGTTTCATTGCCATCAGTAGGTACCACGGAAAGAGAAATCGCAAGCCCATGTCGTTTGGCAGAAGGTGGATGCTCTTGGGATATGCGAAGCAGCAACCTTGATACAGGACCAAGAACGCAAATCGTTTGTGGGGCAATTAACTGGAGCTTCTTGCAAAGTCAGTTGTAGCTTTTAACACGTGGGCATGCAGAATAGGTCTGTCCTTCATTTCTGTGACAATGACCCTGCCTCTGCAAACAAAGTGCTAGTAGCACAGGAACCATATGCACAGAGCATGTTCCAGCATCATGTACATTCTGTGCATACATCGCTTACATGTTGGCTCAAGACGATAAAAGAGGCGAGTGTCTCATGGTCGACCGACGCATTTGCCGACATGCAGGTTATCAGCCGTAGCGTTCTGCTACGAGCTGGGCTGAGAGACTAGCTGGACTTTCAAGAGGGACATCCTATCTAGACTGAAAGGTCTCGACGGCTAACCTTCTGAAATGTCAGGCGCAGACGAGATGAGTGGGGCGACCTTTTCGTTCGCTGCCGCACCGGGTGCTACTTCACAGCCGACGCTTGATTCAAACATGATTGCCAGCAGCGACCCCCAAGGTGGATCAATCATGACTACGCCAACAGCTTTGCAAGCGCCAGGAAACGCACTTGAAGATGTATCTATGCCATCAAGATTGAGAAGACCTCTACAAAGGGCAGCGAGGACTATGAAAGACCGAGAAACGCACCGAGATCCACATCACCGAGATCTGCATTGGCAAGTACCAGAGGGGATTTGAGGCAACCAAGAAGAGTATGACCAAGGATACTTCAACGGGTTCTCGTGGGCTGTCCACGGCGCCCACAGATCCAGCTTTACTCGCTCTCCTACCGCCTGCGAGCAGTGAGACATCTAGCGCGGAAGATCAACTACTTGAGGAGTTGAGATCAGCCAAGATGCTCTACGACATGACGCATGATGAATACTATGCTACACGGGTCAACTTCGAAGAGTTCAAATCTGACACGGATAGACAGATGTACGCGATGTGCGAACAATGTAATCATCTAGACCACGGCAATGTCGAATCTGAAGTCGCTGTTTTACTAGCAAGAAGGATTACTGAGATGAGCGAGGAATTGAATTACGTTGTTCATGGTGCTCATGAAAGTCGCGAAGGTTCTAGACAATTTCACGCCAGAGCTGACAGACTTATGGCAAAGAACTCTGAGATTGAACGCATTGCCGACCAGATGATCATCAAGTCCAAACCCTGCAACTTGAGATTGTAGCTGTATCTCAAAGAGAGAGAGAGAGAGAGCAGAGCAGAGCAGAGCAGAGCAGAGCAAATCGAAGAAGAGAGGGCGATTATGGAATACAACTTCCAGATCACGCATGGAAGATCCATGAATGATGAGATTGCTGCTGCGAACTTACTACGGGAACAAATGTTGTTGGCTACGGGTGGGTTAGCGTAGAGTGCTCGCGTGACGGACATGCAAACTATGTGGCTTGATGAGAGAACTATGATGGAGAACGCTGAAACGAGATCACAGAACAAGGTGCGGCAAATGGAGCACAATTCTCAGATGGAATAGCAAGAAGCGCTCAGTTCTGAAAAGGAGTATGAGACACATGCAGGCGATCTTACGTGAGAAAGAGAGGCTTCGCGAAGCAAATGTGGCGCTGAGAGAAGCAACCGA